GTACGTCATGTAATAGAATTGTGTCATTCCATAGTGTGTACAATCATAGTTTCCCTAACCATTTTTTGTATGCTGCCAATTATGTAAAAAGTGCTGTGTTATAATGAGCCATGTGAAACATTTCAATTCATTTTGTTCAATTACAATATATGATGGCATTTTGGCGTACAAATAAAATCTGTAATTTTAAATTTCTATTAAACCATGCATTCCTTATGCTTTTTATATTGTTAGTATAGTCATAGATATTTTTCGCATATTGATATTATCAGGAGTGGATAACAGAGATCTCTATTATCCACTCCTGATATTATGGACTCGCCTCATGCCCCAGGGGCGGATCTAGGGGGGTATCTAGCAGGTCCAGACACCCCTTTAATTTCAAAGTGCCCTAAAAAATTACTGCTCAAATGCTCTCAGAATGCACCAATTTTTAAAAAATTTGGCACGTCGCATAAGCTGCCTTTGGCAGTTTTTTAAAACAGAAAAATTAAGCAGGAAAAAAGTGCCCTTTATTTCTTCCTGGACAACCTCCTTTCAAAAATCCTGGATCCGCCCCTGGCCGCCATTCCTGCCGCTCAATACTCTATAGCTATGAACCTAACCTCCATGCACATACCCGTCTATGCACCTAACATCACTTTACCCAACATTCAACCGTAGCTAATAGCAGCGAAGCGAACGTGACTGCGACACAACGACAAAACTGACAAAACTCCGAAGAAATTACACAAATGTATAAATAGCTAAATGGTCCTATAAGGCGGGGTCCAGATGACACCAGAGCACCCGCACCCCCCAAAGCCATACGGATGTGACACATACACATACATATACGCACACGCAAACACACGCACACGCTCGTGCGCGCACACACGTACACTTAATTGGATAAGAATAAAAGCATCCTGTTCTTGTCTACTTTTACTCAGTTGTCCACTGCGCAATATCTTTATATGTTGCGGCTGTGCAACACAATATTTGGTGACTATGGTTCTCACACTTATTTCATTTCTTTTGTCTTAGGCCACCATTTTTTATTTTGTTGGTTTACAGAATTTTGTTTGTTGTTGTTGACTCGGTAGGGTAAAAAAAAAAGGTTTTAAAAAACTAAATGAAAACAAAACTCAACTTGTAATTATTTTTACTTTTATTATAAACTGTTTATGAAATGTTTTTGTTTTTTACATTTAAATTTTTTTATTCATTTTTCTTAGAGAAAAGGTCGGCGGGAATAAAAAAAATACAGATTTTCCATTTTTATTTTTTTTTGTTTTTCTTGAAAATTCGGGTCGGCGGATCTGTAAACCAACAAAATAAAAAATTCTCGCCTTACGTGTTTTAGACGCTGTTATCATTGGTTGATGATAAATGAAACTAGTACGACCATCAGCTAAAGAGTTGACTGAACTTATTGAGTAACCTCAGACAACCAGATACCAAATATTTGGAGCCCTGCCCTGCATTCTTATCATCAAATCATCGGAACCCTCGATATCACAACCATTCCACATATGCTCAAAATACATAAAACCGAAATATGCAGTACTACACACAAATAATGTACGTATTTGAATGTACTGGACACTTCTAGCTTATGCCAACTTCATTTCCCAGTTCGTGCAAAATCATTCATTATACACATTCCTTTATTTGTCAACCAACATTGTCACATTTAGGTATAAAACTGCTGATTGAGAATTGAACATCTGTCACAAGTTGGAAATATGATAAGTATTTCCACTATTTACTCACTGCTCCACAACTATATCGCTTAATCTCTTGGAACTTACATCTCATGACCACATCAGACAAACTAGACAGAGTGCACTCACGGAGAGTGCATACCTCCGCCAGCGACATACGCCATACGACTCACGAACACACGAATAACGCACGATATACGCCAGCGTACTGACATATATACACGCTGGCTTGCTGGCTTGCTGCTCGCTCGTTCATAGCAGCCGCTCGTTGCTGCTGCTCGCTGACATGTAGTATGATGTACATGCTCGCTGGCTCGCTGCGCTGGCTGGCTGGCTGGCTCGCTGACTCGACGCGCTAATATCGATCGCGCGAACACACAAACGCACGAGAGCGATCACATAACCTCCTCCAACTCCGTTCGGCGGAGGTAATAAATAGCAATGCCTCAATACTTGCAGTATAAGAACCACATGTTAAAGGTATAATTCAGCTCGAGACCATCAGAATCATGGTGACAATGTTTTTATAATGAACATAAATAACATTTTCGCACAAACGAACCAAGCAGCAAGATGAAATGGCCGAGATCAAATATATAGAACTAGCGGGATACCCGGCGTTGCCCGGGGAAATCAGTGTCGTTACTCAGCTGGTGACCGCTTGGTTGAAATGAAAATACCCCAAAAAATCAAACTATCCATCCATCCATCCCATTCCATGCCATCCCATCCCACCGCATCCCATCGCACCGCATCCCATCG